ATCCCAAATACTGTTTTCTGTATAAATGTACATACGGACTAAAGCTACAGTTTTTCCCACCAAGCTTGTACAGTGATAATAAATAAGATCCTCATTAACGAAGTGTCCTGTTCGATTCCTTGCTATGCATCGGTTATCCTGGTTATGTTTACAACAGTCTCCCTACTATTTCTCGCACTTTAAATTGGTATGGCCCCAATAAGCAACTAAACTGTACAAGCAGTTAAAGCCATGACAGCAATCGGACATCTCGTAGCCGTCAAAGCATGCTAACGCGTTAATAGAATAAACTAAACTGCCCTTATTCTGAGGCAAGCCAAATGCAGAGTCAGATACGAAGCCCAAAATTTAAGGCCGAGGGTAGGAAAATGTGCTGCTTGGTCAGGGCTATAGCGCTTTTTATGGGGCGGTAATAGATGAGTGTGGAGCAATGGTGGAATTATGAACAGGAGGGGACAGCCAAAGAATTCGCAGAATAATCTGTTCCACTGCCCTTTCGTCGTTCATAAAACGCACTTGAAGTCACCCAGGATTGAATCTGGATCTAAAAAGTTCCTTCTTCATAATATTCCAGTCATTTATTGAACTTTCGATTAGCACTGATGACTGAGTTTTCAATTCAATTTCACTTGTTATTTAGCATATAAAGTAACAGCTGAGCGGCCATCGACGCCACACAAATAATTTCACAAAATAAAACCCGTTTAACAAAACTAAAAATTTAAGAATCAGCCATATAACGCATGCAGTTGGTGCTATTGAATGAACTATGAGTAACACTTATGTACAAAAGTGATGTGATCTGACTGTAACTCAACTTTCAGCTCGTCGCTGTGGAAATGAATCGATAATCTACCACTCATGAAACTTCTCTCTGTACCATGAACCAGGAGTAATCAACCAGCCACAGTGTCCCACTCCCATTGCCTCGTTTAAGGGAGATGGATTTGCATAAAATCAAATGGAGTGAAATCAACTTTCAGCACCTAACATCACAGCACAGCTCTTCGTAAAGACTTTCTTTGAGGGCAAGAGGTTAGAACCGCGAGCGTAGATCGACTACAATAACAGGTTAACTGCAGATCTCATCACTGCCTCCAAGAAATCGATAGAATAATGCCAGATGCTACCCCATCTTTTAATCATTCGGTCATTCATAAACACTTTAAAATTCAGTGGTAATTATATATACCGCCTGTTTTAACAATCAATATTCAGCCCGAAAATCTGAGAGAGTATGTTTCTCCGAAACGGTCGCATCCACCTGAAAGTCCACACGAAATTGGAACCCACAAAGCCAACAAAAATATCTTCGCCATCGTGAGAACCTCAAATCTCAATAATTCTATATTGTACCCACACAGAATATATGGGTTTCTTATTAATCCAAGCATACAGTTATTTTTTCCATAAACAGCATTAATCACTTGTCTCTATAGTGGAAAAGTGTGTTTTCTTGACTGAACAAGACTGGAGTTTTAATAATTATTTAGATAAGCTTCAGCTTCATGGAATTCCGTGGAACAATTACTTTTTGAGTAGTCAACAGTCACTCAGCTGACAAATAAATGTGCCATCTTTTATGGAAACTAAAGCTACTTATAGTTCCTATCCCAAATCAGTCCACATCTTCACACCTTATTTCCCTAATGTCCACTTCAATATTATCCTCAAATTTACAACTAAGTCCTACAAGTAATCTATCCACTTCAGGTTTTTTGATCAACATTTAATATGCATTTATCATCCTTCGCATACGTGGAAGCTGTAAGCTGTTCCCAGCAGTTAGATCAAGGTCAGTGCAGAAAAGGTTAAAGCCACAAGTAGCTTCTTGTGCCTGTTCCCATCGTCACTGGCAACAGGTTGTGCTACAGCGAATAGCTAGAAACTTTGTGTGGATCGTACAGGAAGTACGAAGCTGTTCTGCAACATCGATCAGAACAGTCACGGCCCACATGAAAACCAGATGTGATGGATCAGTTTTCATATTAAAGAGGACGACTTCGAACCTCTCAGTTTCAACACAAGCTGCGATATCGTTTCAGAATGTTTATAGCTGATAAGCTGGTCAAGATCACCTCTCACGGAACCTTAAAGTTTCTTACCGTCGTAACAAAATTTCATAACTGAACTTACTCTGAATCCTATCCACTCCCTCACACACGTTTTTTATCACTCAAAATAAACTGGATCACGACATAAATATATATCTAAAGTCGGTAACGTGCATTCAAAACCTTGTTTCCGAACTGCTGGATATTAAATATATATCAATAAAAATACATTTTAATATGAGTTGGGCGTATGAATTCTGCAGTGTGATTATCTTTGCAGCAATAAATATATATCTGTAATGCATGAACTTCAGTTCTAGTGACATTCAAAGTGACGAAGGGTCCATTTTGTTAATATGGAGTTTGGAAAACGCCTTACCACGGTTGCTATGGAAGCAACCATAAAAACAACGCGGCAGCTAGATGTCAAAATCGAGCGGAGTTATGTCACATGCACTGCGATGTACTGCATAACCTCTCAGGTGAACCCTGGCTCCTATTCAGTGAACTACGAGATGTATTTGTCTGATTTAATTTCCTCCACAAAACCGAATAATTTACCAGTATCTAAGAATTTGCAGGCAAGCATACGCCCTGTCGTGGCTAAGAATACGCGAGGATACACCTTCACTCCCCTGCGTTCAAAGCAAGGGGCTCAATTAAGCACTGAGACAACGCCTTGTGTATTTTTCTCCTTATCTGTTTATATAGTTACTTGCGAGTCACTTACTTCTTTTACATTCGAGAATTTTCATAATTTCCACTCTTCTCCCACTGTTTTAATGTGGTGAAATGTAGAATATTCGGAAAAGCTATTAGAATTCTGATGCACTGTCTTAAAATAGGATCGACCGCTTATTTCTACATCTTTCCAATATATCGTTCACAAGAATCCTCTTATTCGGTTATATTTAGCCTATGTAATTGGAAAACGCCATTAAATAACGGATGAATCATTCAATTAATGATATGAAATGTAGCATATAGAATTTAAAAGTGATAATACTTAAAATCAGTACATTTTCCACTAATGCGCAAAAGCAAAGAACATAAACAGATGAGATTTTAAGCTTCATCAATCAGTATGCTCATACAGAGAGCACTTCAGTATATTACTAAAACATGAATCATAATTTCATGGCTTCAAGACTGAGATAATGATGATTGCTTATCCGTTATAATGTAAATGGTCTCCTGTGAGGTATAACACGCTTCAAAACGAGGCAGTTTTTCGTCAAGGCACCTCGTGATTATGAAGGAAGGCCATTTTAAATTCTTGTTTCTTTCGATACCTCGAGACTTCTCGTGAGAGAAACTTCAACCGTCCAGTAACGAGAATTTGGTAAAATGCAGATGACAAGAACCAGATTTTGGCCGTAAAACATTAAGGAAAGAAAACACTTGGAAGACAGTAGTAGATAGAAGAATAGTAGTGAAATTCATCTCAGAAAAACACGATGCAAAGGTGTGTACTGGCTCAGAGCATAAGCCATTGCGGGTTCTTGTAAACACGGTAATAAACGAAGATTTCTGTCTTCAAACTCACCGCTGTGAAAACCTCAAATCAGACAAGGTAATAAACGTTTGGGTTCTAGACAATTCGAAGACTTTTTCGCTGCATGAAGGTGTCCGCTTCATATGCGTGGTTAGGTATACTATGGTATACGCACATAGTACGTGGACCCTACTAATTACAATCAGACATTCTACGTTTCCAGTTTTCGTTGATATCCCTACTGATTTTCCCCTTGCACGACAATACATTCTACAGCTGGACTCATCAGTCAAACCACTGGGGCATAAATCATTACTGGCGCAGTATTGGGCTCATTAACATTCTCCCCCACAAGCATCCAAGTAATTCGATGCACCAGGAATTTCTCTAGGTCACTTGAATTCTCCATCTCCCTCTCTGAAATTCCATCCTATCCAATTCTGTTAAACACAATGGGAGAGGGGGGTTCTCCTGCAGCAATTTGGTATCATAAACTACACGGGAAGCCAACAGCATATAAAATATTCCTGGGTACAGCGCATAGAGAAACATCTCATAAAACCACCGTCAATTTTTCGAAAAAGACGTCAAAAAACAAAGTGGGTGATTTTTACCATAATTCCCTCGACTTCTAATGGAAGACATCAATACCATCACTAAATTACATATATATGAGCAAGACCACTGTGATCGGCTTCACATGCATGTAAGTTCATTCTAGCATTAATAATTGGTTTCTCTTTCCTGATCTGTTCAGGCAAATGTAATGTAATATAACTGTGTGTGCTAGCAGGTATAATGAAGTAGACATACTGGTATTATATTAACAACAAGAATTATGTGTGTATAATTCAGGTGTAAAATGCAAGTCCGTGAAAGTACACCAATACGAATTATGAATAAAATTACTCCCAATAGTAACAAGTGTTCTGTGGTGTAAACAAAACAGATAACTTAATAACATCTGCTCTTCGCCAGGAAATCAAATAAAGAATAATCTGCAATAAGTGTTTGAATATTTAAGCGTGCGCTGTTTAATTTATGTAATGCATAAAGTTTGTTAAATAACTTAAAAATTGATCCAGCATCTCTTATATCAGGACATTCTGCATGCCCAGTCCCCTGTGCAACCGCCATGAACACTTATTTTCGTTTTAAATTCTCTGTACACTAAGACGACTTATCCCGACTGAGGTGGTTCGTGATTTTACCCAGCAGCTGTAGGATATGGGCCAGTGTTTTAAAATAGGCTACGATAGCACCGTTCCACATTCTTTCCGATTTGTCATTCCCAGTTACAATATTCGACATTTCGTGGTCGACCGACTGAGTAAATCACTTATTCTCTTGCAACAAGTTTATTTCATGCATTTCCGGTTCATTTTTGAACATTAGACTGTCACCTCGAATAATCTGACCGTTTAGTTAACATATATCGTTTCCTGTTCCAGGTTTCATCGTTGTAGCAGCGTGTGTAATGACGTTCGAAGCTCGTGACAGCGCAGCGAAAGTAGTTCCTGCAAGACTCAAACTCAACAACACGATCAAATCGAGTCCTCTTTCAAAGAAACAGCTGTCGGAGAGATCAGACAGCCGCCGAAGTACCAGCTGTCAAACCAAGTGGGACAATCAAATGGGCCTGTTTCAGGCATCAAGCAATAAAACCGGAAGTGTGCGTGGTACCTCGCCATGTGGAAGCGAAGTCTTGAACCGGCGCGCCCTCACCGCTGCTTTCGTTCAATTCTCCAGAACGCTACAAAACCGGCAGCCGTCAACAGATTCAGGGTCTTCGCGACTCTACGAACAACCTCTGACAAACGCAATCACTAAAAGTCCTTCGGCGCCAAATCTCTCCGCTGATAACATTTCGCATCCTCGTAACCAGAACCTAACACCAATAAAACCACAAACGGTAAACTCATCACCAAGATCAAAGCTGAAAATCAGTGGGAATTCTCTTCACCCTACCGGTGGTGGATGTGCACTGCTCAGCCCTTACCTCCTTCAGAGACAGGCTCTGTCGATGGACAACCCGGCTTATGGGCAATGCGGGTGTTACTCGCCTCCGCCTTTACTGCGTCGGCAACCCAGTGGCCGGAGTACAAGAAGTGGAGGGAATATGAGTACCGGAAGTCGCGAATCGCTTGAAATCGGCGGAAGAGCAGAAGCAAGTTGCTCTCATCATGGCTCTCAAGCTTCGATGGCGATGGATTTACATCTTCCAAATGACTGTCCTGTAACACTGAAAGTTAGGGACCAGTCACGAAAATCGGAAACTGCTAAAAGACATTTGTTTGTGAGACAAAAACCGGTCGAGGAAGACTTTAATGAGTCTTTACCGTGTAGTAATTTAGATTTTCGACGTGAATCACATTCCTGTAGTCCCAGGTTAGGTGGAATTTATGCGAGGACAAACACGGAAGATACTACAATCCAACATCCTAGATCAAGAGCGAATACTGCGGAGTCGAGACACCACCGGCAGTCACACAGCAGGCGAGGGTCGACTTCGTACTCCAGATCAAGCACAGATGAAGCCAAGCTGCGTCCTAGATCGAGGTCAAACACGGGTGAATCCGTGAGAAGCTATCAGCGCAGACAGTCCAGCTCTGTGCAAACCAAACATTACTACTCAAAATCCAACAATGAAGATCCCAGGTCAGACATATTCTAAGCACATATATTTTACATTCTGCATTAAAATTTGTGTGTTACTCATCGCAAACATAGTATTCGTGCCAAACTTCGGAATTATATCTGGCAAATTTAAAGTCGTCTACTCGTGTAAATTATGTGCACATAATAGAACACTAAATTTTACAACTCTTAATTGTCTCTAATTACTGCTATTATTACTACCGCAGACGTCAAAAGTTCTTCTGAAACTCCTTAATAGCTTTCATAAACATCCTTTAAATGTACACGATGTACGAGTTTCGATATTTTTTCATATTATGTGGCGACTTTGTTTCAACTGCAAAGGTAAAAGAAATCGAATTACATCACTATATAGAAATTACGTACGAATATGAAATAAGGTGGCATTTGCCATCATGGAAAACATGTTGCAATAACTGAAAACTCACTCAAGATTCGAACCGGGTACCTCCCGTTTAAAAACTTTAATAAACACACACATATACATATTCTATGCAATTTTAGTTTGTGATGCCTACATGGAACTCGTAAAATAATTGTTATTTCAGATCAAGAAGAAGTTCGACGTCAGACTTTCCCAGCGGACGACATCGGGAGTCAAATCCAGCTCTGTTTTTCACTAGATCAAATACTTCAACAACAGATGAATATAAAAGGCTTCACTACCGAAGACACTCGCCCAGTGCGTCGCCATATTCAATATCAAGATCCAATACAGACGAATCATCAACAGTGCACCAGCGAGAAGACATTTTTCAAGACATAGAAATGACAATAATTAGGACAAAACCTGATAAAGAAGACAGCAGTTTGCATGACCTTTTACGAATTAGCGAATTGGAACGACAAAATTAGCAGAAACGTTGTAAAAATATTTAAAAGGGATCGGGAAACGATAAACAAAATTGCATCAATCAAGCAGCTACTTTATCAGACACCAGTAAACGTGCCTCTGACCTGGATTTAGTAATTGAAACTGATAGCGTTAAATCAACACATACTTAGAATTATGTAAACAAAATATAAGTAAAACAGAGCAGTTTACTTCAAATGCTATGGCCTCATCAATGTTGCGATTTGGAAAATACTGATTAACATTGCGAGTTGTCACAAGGGGGGGGGGGG